CTGCAGAGGCAGAAATATGAAACTGGATTTTGGCAGTACCAGTAGATCCCAAAATTGACCTTCCTGCTTTATGCTCTGCCTGCTTCAAGGAACGTGCTATTCCTGGAGGAGTTTTATAAAATAAAGCCCAAGCAAGCATTCTCATGTCCTCTCCACTTCCTAAAGCCAACGCAAGCAGCTTGCTTAAGTGGCCCTCCCACTCCCTCCAGGTCCTGGCACCTGCTAACAACCCCGCACTGGCACCATGGGCTGCCCTGATACTAACCACAAGCAGAACAGCAACCACAGTGTGCAGCTCAGCACACATGAGCTACAATAAACTTGTCAGAATGCAAAAGACATGAATCATATGGATTGCCACAACAGCAACAAGGAGTGTACAGCCCTGCTAAAATAAACAAACAAACAAACAAAACCCTAAGACATCCCAAAACACAGATGTAGATAAACAGACACTCTCCTGAGGCTGCCAGTACAGCTATGCTACAGGGTTTGCCTGAAAAATATATACCATCCTGACTGTGACACTTCAGAAATGCATCTGTAGTGGGGAGCCAGGAAAAAGTAGGAATAACACGCAGCCTCTTCTTGCTGAGAACCTGGACCCTGACCAAGTAGATGCCTGGGTTGCCTGGGATGCAGCGAGAGAAAACACCTGTAGCAAAGGCTGCTCTGTCGGTCACCGATAGATGTGGATGCAGAGGATGCCCAGGGTATATTAGAAAACACATCCCTGGTGCGCTTAAGTGAGCTGGAGGTGCAGCTCCTCTCACATCAGCAGGGAAGTTATGCTGGAAAAACAGCAACGCCTTTTCCTGCTGACAGTCCTCCCGGAGTCTTTGGCACAGCCATGAGACTGAAGCAAGGAAATAATGCTACAGGTGCATCTGAGGGGTTTCTACGCTGCCTCTAATCTTTGGGCAGCCTTCAGAGTGGATGAGATGACTACTCCATCCATGCTTGCAGGCCACCAGGACACACCATTTTGACAATTAACCTGTCATTAAATACTACACTTCGGATGTATTTTTAACTCATTCCACTCTAATACACCCAATGGGGTTTTACCATTCTCTTTCCCCTCCTGCTCTTTAATATCTCACTGTGTCACCTACCAAGCCATTGTCCTTCAAAAACCTGCAGACATGCCTCACCTTCTAACCGGCAACTGCAATCCTGTAACCCAAGAGATGAATCAGGCAGACAAAAGCAAAGGGGAAAGGCATAAGGCCAGTATATTTGCTTTTGCTGGAGGATTCAGGCCAGAGACTTCAGCTTTTCCAGGTCAAGAGAGTGTCTGCATTAGAAAATAATCTATAAAATCTTTATTTAACTGTTCCCTTAGGGCAGCAGGCTAGACCCTCACACCACGTGGGTCTGCGTCTCAGTTTAAGCGCGTGAACTGTCTTAACTGACTTCAGCGGGACAACTCATGCACTGAAAGCTAACCACATATGTAAGCTTCCCTTGTTTTCTGCAAATCACCAAATTTGTGGATACAGTTCAGGTATTGGAGTCATACTTGAATCTAAATTAAACCCCTCTCCCCCACTCTCCCTCTTTTAAAAGTAATTTTCTACTGGTTTGGCAGTTGGAACTAGATGATCTTGAGGTCCTTTCCAACCCAAACCATTCTATGATTCTATGGTTAAGTACGTGGTCTGTTGATGATTTCAAAAGAAATCCTGTGGATATCCAGCACCCATGCCCACCCCAGAAGCTGCATGCTCTCACAAGACCTACTCAGGCACTCTGTAGCTTTCCTTTTCCAGCATTTTCTTCTAGAAAAGTTTTCTTCCTTCCTTTTTTTCTCCATAACTAGCAATATGCATAGTCACACACTGCTCTCAGGCAGAGTCTGTGTGCTGCTGCACTTTCTCCACCTGGAGTGAAAACACTCTGTGACACTGTGCTGCCTGGGTAGCCAGTGGTGACGTCACAGACCGAGTATTGTGGCTTCAGCTGGAGAACCAGAAGCAGCAGCAGCAGAATTCCAAAAACAAACATTCTGTTTTGGTGTAAGCAGCTTTCACAGAAAAGAGGGGGGGGAAAATAGAAGTATATATAAATATAGCATAGATTTTTCTCAAAGAAGTATAAATAAATATATGATAAACACAGCTTTCTGTAGGCAGATCTTTCAAAGTCCCAACTAGGTTTGTCATTTTGCTTCTTTTTCAGAATCAGGCCCTTATTACCTTTCAAAAGAAACATTTCCTATCCTTTCCTTTAATTTTGTTTTTAGTACCTTCATGTTTCATCACCGTCCTCAAATAAGCAAACACCACTGCTGCATAAAGAAACAGCTCTCAGGAAATAATGTACAGTGTGTTTCCAAACGCTTCATAAATCCACAGGCAGCTTGCAAATACTGCCTGCATTCCTGTGTGAGGATGGTTGTTTTTCATGTAAGTCACGTATTAATGCAATTTGGAAAAAAAACAAACCCAAACTTAACCCCATTCAATCACATCACCTTCCACCTTTACACTGAAACCCAGAGGTTATAATTACACCCAGGAGCAGGACCAAATTAAAACAACCGCTGCTGCTGCCTTGTACTCTTTTTTGAAAAGAAAGGTGATCCTTTCTACTGCACCTTACGTGCTCTGTCTAACACAGAACAGGGTTGTCTGGCAGGCAAAAGGGCAAAGAGTAGATTTTCATGAGGTCAGAAATGGAAGCGAGGTCATTTTCAGAGGTTACAAATGGAGTAGCACATCCCACGTCCTAACACGTACCAGATCTTCAGAGGGGAGCATTATCTTCATTACCCTGGTTCTGCCGCTCAGGACTTCTTCAAGCTGTAGCACCCCAGGAGCAATGTGGAGGGAAGTGGAAAAGAGGATGTGGGCACTTCATGGGTTAAGACATTTTCCACCCCTTAGTAAAGGTTATTTAGAAAGCAGCACACTGTGACAAAGCCAACACCCAGCAGTCTGGGTGTGAAACACCAGAGGCTCTGACAACAGGCTGATGTGTCACAGTGAACCCCCAAATTGACCATGTCTGAGCTCTTTGCTCGCACTGCTCGACGCAGTCTTTCAGAGAAGACAAGCCCCCCTTTCCTCCAAAATCCCTTCTCCAGAGCAACTCCATCTTTCCCTCACCAGGGTTATGGGAGACGGGACACTGGTGGTGATCCACACTAAGCATAGGTACAACCTGGAGGTGACCAAAGACCTGTATCAGTGGCTGCCGCTGTGTGCAGGTACACATTACATGAAGGAAGACCGATGGACTACGGCCCCCTCATTCCTCCCTCACAGGGCCCTTAGCCCCAGCATCTTCTCCAGGGTTTCACCAGGGCTGAGAGATTTCAGCTCACGGTTACACACTGCAAGCTGCCAGCTAAAAGGCACACCTCCTTTCAGAGGAGTGAACAGCAGGGAATGTGAAAGGCATTTGCTATTAAAAGAAAAAGAAACAAAAAAGCGAAAGAAAGAGAAAGAGAAACTTCGTTGCCTGCTAAACTGTCTAATGCTTGAACAACTGCAATAACCAGGCAATTGCAATTGCAATTGGTCAAGACAGACCAATGTTTGTCTTGACAAACCCTTCTGAAAATTCACATGCAGAAGGGGAAATACTGCTAGGACTTCAGTTACCAGCTTCTCAGGGGACACCACAAATAATAAGCTGTTCCCTCCCCGAAGTACCCTAATGGCATCCTAGATTTACAAAAAGTGATGCTTGAATATATTTTCTGAAATATAAACTTGCCATGCACAGTCAAAATTAAGAAGAAATATAGGGCATTTTTAAGAGAAGCTCCATGGGGAAAAGCAACTGTGAAATAGCCAAACATCAATTATGAAAACCACATCAAGAAGAGGCTCTTGTGCACAGGGTTTAGGGATTTGACGAAAATGTGCATCCTGGCTTGACTCACAATGTAGGCACAGAATGTGCAACTTTCCTCAACTTGTACAACTCAGTGAGCGCGTTCCTTCCTCTGCTGAACTGTAACCCTTTAAAGTCGGTGTATCTATGCAATATTCTTGCATCTCATAGCTCTTTGCTCTCTACTCCAAACTCCTCTGCATCATCAGAGTGACCAGCTTACTCCCATCCTAACTTAGTGCAGAAGAAACAGCCGATACTACTGTGACATGGGCAAACTTCTCCTGAAGTCACCCAGTAGCTTGCTCATCGGTGGCATGATCATGATTTTTACTTCAAACCTTCAATCAGAGCCTCCTCCCCCCCCAGCTACTGCCCACATAGAACTCTGAACTAGTAATAGGCTTCAGGCAATGCTACTTCCTTCTATGTGAGGAAACACATATGGGTAGAAAAGCAAAATATAAGTTAACAAAAGCAGAGGGGTTTGGGGTGATTCTGTCTGTGAGTTGTGGCTGGATCATTTTCCCAAGATTAAAGCATGACATTCTTGTGCATGTCCCATGAGGCAGGACACAGGAGAGGGAGCATACAGAACTGCGAGTACCCAGGGTAAGACCAGGAAACGCCTCCCCACAAGACCCACAGCAAAAAGCAATGGGATGATCTTGTGCTTCTTTAAAAGTCTGTTGTTTTGTGGCATTGCTGTTTAATGGTACACAGCACTGTTATTAATAAACAGCATAAATCGGACAGTTGTCACAAGGGGAACAAAAAAAAAGACACAAGTTTCTTTGCTTTTTCCTCTGTTCCTGACTGTATCTCAAGTGTCACATATGCTCCTACAAGCAATGCCTGGATGCAAGGCTTCACTATGAATTTTCCTCTCCGATGATGGATCACACCACGATTTTCCATCTCTTCTTCTTTCAGGAGCAATGGCTGTTTATTATTCCTCATGCCCACTCCACATGATAGAAAACTATGCAGAAAACAGGAAAAGGTGAAAGCAAGGCTATTTAAAGCTGCAAATCAAGAATGCAAGGCTTAGGAAACCTCAGCTTTGTGACTGCCTGCGCAACCCTCCTTCATCCCTCTTTCTTGCCTGTGTACTGTGGCAGAGCTGTTAATCACATAATCACAGGCTATTTTTCTACAGGACCTTGGCCTCACCCAGTACAGCAGGATACACAGAGCTCACCTAGCAAGCAGTCACTATTTCATCTTCTCTGCACTGTTAGAGGTGTGGCCTCAAGCCTTGTTTACCAGGTACCTGCCACACTCTACTCTGCAGACGGAATTAGTAATTTACTCATGGGCTTTCCTACAGTATGCATCATTAGAGTAACTGAATGTTTCACAAACAGAAAGGAATGTATTTTCACAATGCCCTCATAAAGTAAGACACTGTATTATCCATATGTCATGGGCAGGGAATTGAGGCACAGAGAGATTAACATGAAAAGCTTCCACTAATTTTAAATGCCTAATTGAAACTCTTAGGACCAAATCTTTCAGAGATTTGTTCTGGCTGCTGAGGAGGTGGTGACAACAGGGACTTTTAAGGCTTAAAACTTGGCCAAGTTTGGGCTGATGATCTTGGAGACAGCAGAAGTGGTGCCTCTGACATAGATACCACGCAAATTTTATTGGGTTGTTAAGATGGCAGTTTTCTGTCTTATTTCTTTGTACATTTGTTCTATTTAACATGCACCAAAAAAGTCAACAGGGGTACTAAAGAGCCATTTTCTAAATACACATTCTGAGGCAGGTAGCTGGGTTGGAAGTTTTTTGCTCGGAGAGTTTAAGTTTGGTAAAGGTGTGAGCAACCAACCAGAGGGTCTTAAAACGGGGAAGCTGCTGGATGGCCTCCATAGCAGGCCATTCCCATGAAATACACTTTTCCTTCTCTTGGGTGGTATTATCCAACTGTTGAAGAAATCACACAGGCCAGATGTTACACTAACTGAACCAAGGCAAACTTAAATGCAACCTGTAACTTAAGCTTTCTTTCATATCCTGGTTCTGTTCAGATAAACAAGATTGATTTATTGTTAATCTTAATGCACAACAAAGTCTTGTTACTCAATTCCACATAGCAGCTTTTGCTTAGAGCATGTCTATCCTGCTCCCTCTGAAAGAGAAAGCAAGGTAAGTGTCAGGCACTGTAGACAGCACTGGTCATAAGCTGGATATAGAACTGGCAGATGGACAGTACTCAGAGACAGTGAATCTTACATTGGTACAAACTGATCCTTCCCCTGATTATTTACAGGGAGATTCACAAAATCCTGAAGAAAAGGTCCATCTGAAAATTCCAGGCAGTGATTTATCTGTGTTGACACCAGGAAAGATAGACAGACAGATAAAAAGACAACAGGGTGGCGGGAAATAAATCAACCAGTTGCTGTGCCAAGCCTTTCTCAGAGTAATAAAGTATTTTTAGAGACACTTTTGCATAAGCATAAAACCCAACCGTGCAACTGTCCACCACTACACAGGGCTTAGGGGGAAAAGAGAGTGAGACAATATGGGAGCTGGTAGGAGAACTGGTTCCTCCATCACCTTGTGAACACGCAAGGACAATGTTGGGATAACAACTCCCAATGATTCCTCTTTGCAACTCAAGCTGTATTCCTGGCAAATGATGTTATAAACTGTCCCTCCCCTAGACACATACCACATGCACACACAGATGAACAGAGACCCAGTTTCTCTGTCCCACACCTAAAATTCTTGCCATACCTCCCTGCTTTTCAGCTAGTGATGTCTCCTGACTGCACTAACATTGACTAATTTAGTATTTTTAATTACAGAGGGATTTACAGCACTGCACTACAGTGCTCTCTTATTATACCCACTGTTCCTACTGGATCTGGGTACACTCTACTTACAAAGTTGCACATTAGACAAATTACACTGCACATTAAGTAAATCTCTCTCTAGAAACAGGATTAGATGGAGAGGCAAATCTTCCTCATTCCTGGAGTGTAAATTAATATTTCCAAAATCAATATGAAGAGCTCCAAATCAATTAAAAAAAAACAAACTCCCCAAAAATCCCCAACCAACCAACCAAAAAAATCCCCAAAATGTTTAAACATTTTCTACAATGAATCAAATTTATACAGGAGATGCATTCTTTTCCTCCGAGTTCACTTAATAAATAAAACAGCTGGTCCGAGGAATCAGGTCAATCAGAGTCTAGAAAAAAGCCCCATTAAAGCTGCTATATAACCTAGTTTCTCAAGCTGCATAAGGCATCCTAATATTGGAGGGGCAGAAGCCCATGCAGAAACAGGCTCAGCTTCTGGCCCCTCAGGGTTATGGAGGGTATTTACTACGAACGATAGCAGTAAGAGAGGTATATTGCAAACATGTAAGGAGCAAGGCTCTGAAGGAGCACAACAAAGACGACATGATACATCCAGACCTATACGTTAAATATGGCTAGTGATCTTGGGCACCTAAGTTGAGATCATCCAACATGAGGAGATGGTAAAGCACCATATTTTCACATATGCTCAGATCCCCTCAAGGCTAGGCTACCTCTGCTGCCACAGTGGGTGACAGCAGCTCTTCTCACAGCACTCCATGGCTGCAAGCTCCCATCCCTCCCATGCCACATGAGAGGATCAATCCAGCAGCACCCAAAGCCCTAAGTGTGTTACATGAACACAGAGCCTATCCCACTGCAGGCAGAAGACCCCCGCAGCACCAGCCTTCCTCCTCCTGCATTGCACACGGCTGTTGTTGTGATGCCCAGGCTTTGGTCATCTTGGAAAATGTAGTCTTTTATTTATATGTTTGAAAATGCTTTGCCAAGGATATCACAGTCCACACCCTGAAAGTAGACGGAAGAAAGTAAAGTGACTTGCTCAAGCTTAAAGTGCAGTGCAGCAGCAGAACTGGGAAATGAAACTTCTTGACCCACAACCCTAAGTTTTAGCTTCTTAAATAAGGATTCACTTTCCTTATTAAAAAACTAAAAATGGGAAAAGAGGGAGGAGTATGCTATAGACACAATGAACTTGCCCCTCAGAGGGCTAATGACCTGATATACTTTTTTTTTTCCCTTCTCGCCTCTATTTCCCCCGGTACTCTAACTTCAAGGACTATCCTTCTTTACTGGTCTACTTTAACCGAGAGTGTTGGCTCAATATCCTTTTCCCAACCACCTGAAGCCAGAGACCATCTTTCCCACAGAGGAGATTACCTTCTCGCTTTCAGGCTCTCTGGATGTCCTCACAACACCCTGGACTGACACTACTTCTCTTTCTGGATCATGCTGAGGGACACCAAAGTCCTATCCGCTGGTCTCAGCCTGCGGTACGTGGCAGCCTGTAAGGGTACCCTGGAGGTAAAACCTGGTTGTTCTCTATTAATTTTTCATTTCAAGAATGGCTCCAGGGAAGGGAGGGAGATATAGGTCAGAGACTTTGGGGGCTGATTAGTAACTCTGTACATCTTCCTTTTTTCTTCTCCCTCCCCCCTCCCTTTTTTCTTTTCCCTTCCAAATTCAGAAACAGAGGGTTTTCCCTCTGTATTTCTCATTTACTCCTCGAACATCATCAGCATTAGTCAGCAAACTGCTGTTATTTCCTCCACAAGCCCAAGACACTTGGAGAGTGACTAACCCTTCTCTCCTCACACTCTGGCTTCAACAGTTGCATCTGTTTTCTTCCCTGAGAAAAATGGGTCTCTGCATTGGCACATGTGCAGTACTCCCCTGTGGTCACTGCCACATATGCTCCCACTGCCACGTGCCTGCAAACACCATGGCACTTTATGCTGAAGAGCCAGGAGGTGATGGCAGGGCCTGCATTCAGGTCACTTCTTCACCCATCATCACAGCAGCAGCGTCCCTCAGGATGGCAAGCAGTTAGCTACTGCCCCAAGCACAGGCATGCGAAGAACACAATGGAGGAAGCATGAAGCAACCCCGATTCTCTTCGCAGCCCTGCCAGTAACCTGGTCTGTCGGGTCACATCACCTCCATGTGCCTGTATTAGCCTTTTCTTCCCAGGACCAAGAGTGTCTGCCCTCATCGAGGCACTTGGCACCTCACACAGCATGCAGAAAGTCTCCGCCAGGCTTCTGAGGCACGAACACAGGGTGAGTAAAAACCCAGCTCCTCGTGACTCAAGGCCGCCTCATCAGAGCACAACAGAAGGCTCCTCCTGGCCAGGTGGGCTTGCACAAGGTCTCCACCCACAGCCACGCTCACAGGGGACCTCGCATGCAACTCACGCTCACATAGGCATGCCCACAGACCTGCCCACACTTTGCTCTCGGCATCGTGCTGGAGTTTGTTGCGTCCCCTTTTCCAGGGTGATGCCCAAAGCGCACAGACCACTGTCCCCTGTGTCTGGCATGCAAAGAGGATGCCTTGGCCTCAGGCTACTGCAAGTGCTACCTGCTGCCAGCCGTAACCCATAATGGGAATGCCCCACATTCACACCAGAGCACATCAGTAAGGATCAGTGGGAAGGCTGGCCAATTTGGTGCCAGAGAACTCCATTCCCTTTGCTTTAACATGCTCACCCCAGCAGTGACCCCACTCCCGCTGCTGTTACCTCTGTCCCCATTGTAGGAGAGCCTGCTCCATCGCTGTGTAGGGAGGCATGAAAATAAACCACCGGTTCCAGTGCCACACTCCCTCCTGGCAGATCTGTTTCTCTCTTCTTAACTGTTTCCAAGTGCCTGGCTGTTTTATAATCCCCACTGAGCATTCCCTTAACTCCTTCCTCACTAAGCCCTTCCACCCTCCCTCTCCCGCTTTCTCTTAAAAGGCAGAAAAAGCCAAGGCGAGGTAGGGGGTACAGAAAGCGAAGGAGGGGGCCTGAATCAAGGAAGGAACAACTGAATCAAACTGAACGTATAATAGAACAAGCAAATTAGTCATTTCCCCAGCCTTCTCTTATGTAGACGAACTGACTCTTCTATTAAGATAGGGTTTTTTTGTGGACATTTGTGCACCTTAGAAGCTTACTTCTTTGCTAATTTCCTGCTTTTTCATACTATAAGGTCAAAGGCTTCTGCTGGTAGCACAGTTTTTAATCACACAGCAACTTGCCCTTTGAGGTCTGTACTGAAATTGCTTCCTTAGATCACAAGTAAATACGAGTTGGCGGCTTTACGTCCAGTGTCACCATCAACCCATTTATGCCTAATGCAAAATCCAAGAATCGAGCACAGGTATCGCTCTCCAGTGGAAAGGATGTCAGTGGGCTGTGTGGAGGAGCTTGGATAGAGGGACACAGCCTCCTGGCTTCCCAGATGTGGAACACTGAAATTGCCCTGAAGCGTACTGGTGAGAGCCACACATGCTATGTGTGCTCTGTGTTGCACGTGTGCGTGCACTCATGTCAGTGAGTGCCAGTGGCAGAGGAGATGGAGTTACCTGGCCTGAGACATTTCAGGAGACCAACCAGGATAACTACAGCGTGCTGCAGGCCACCGTGTGCCAAGGTGTGCTGGCAGCACGGCGCAGGGCGGGACAAGTACAGCGACCCAGCAGCTTTGGGTTTCATAACCGTGATTACGTGCAAAGCAACGCCACAGAACACCCCGGTGTGTCCGCTGCTCCTGTGAGAGGATGAATAAAGAACATGGTGGGAGGGGGGGGGAAGCCATGGCTTTCACACATCCCCTTCTCAGGTGGAAACGCCACACTTGAGCTGGCTGCTGCTCTTTCCTCAAAGCCTATGGCTGCTGCTTCCAGCGTCTTGAGGTAACCCCTGACAGCTTACACTCGAAAGTTTGCCAAGGTATCTTTTTCCCTGACAAATGAGCTATTCTGTCACACAAGGCTGGGCCACGGGGCTTTTGGAAATGGTTCTGCTGATGTTCAAGGGGAGCAGCTTGCTGTGCAGAGGAGTGGCAGAGTTAATAGTAGTAGGATCAGCACACGCTCCTACCTGCCATCTGCCTTCAGCTCAAACAGGCCTTCTGCTGAACTGCCAGCGCTGGGGCCTGGGCTGGGCTGGGGCCGCTGCAGTGAGCAGCAACTCAGTGACATGAAAGACTGCTTGGGTTAGTTGATTAAGAGCGCAGGAATCCTGTATAGTGCTAGTACTGACTCGGTCCAGGGATTTCACGGGGGTATTTAAGCCTGGTTCTCCAAAGTCTTTTGCACAGGTGGGTGTTTTTGTGCCAGCTTAGACCAGCCCCATGAACTGATCTCAGAAACAGGGGCCTCTGAAACAGCTACGCTTTCTTCTTTGGTCACAGTAGAAAGTAGGGATAAATAAAGCTTTAACTACATCACTCCCCTGTAAAGTTTAACACCTTCACACGCATAAAGCTCTGCAGGAAACAGAGGAAAGCCCACTGGTGCCTGTGGACTTCTTTTAAGCACTGGC